CAAGACTGCAATCGCACTAGGTGAGAAACCAGTTCTCCTTTGCAGACGTGAAAGCATCTCTAATGGGTCTGCAGGCATGGCGCAGACACTGGGTCCCGACGTTCCTTTCACCATGATTGCTGCGAGCGAGGTCTTCTCGCTGTCCATGTCCAAAACTGAAGCGCTCACTCAAGCATTCAGGCGGAGTATTGGTGTGCGCATAAAGGAAGAGACTGAGATCATTGAAGGAGAAGTGGTCGAGATTCAAATCGACCGGAGTCTCACTGGGGTACGTCAGTGAATGTTAGTCCTGACTGCACGTACCTGACCGTTGGCGCGCAGGCGACGAAGACCGGCAAGTTGACAATCAAGACGACTGACATGGAGACGATATATGACCTCGGAAACAAGATGATTGACGCTTTATCGAAGGAGAAGGTTACCGCCGGAGACGTCATATCGATAGACAAGACGTCGGGGAAAGTCACGAAATTGGGCCGCTCTTTCGCGCGGTCAAGAGACTATGATGCCATGGGTGCAGATGTACGTGTTCGCTCTTCTCCATCCCAATCTCGCGCATTGACAACCAGCCCTTAAGACGAAGTTCGTGCAATGTCCAGAAGGCGAGATTCAGAAACGCAAAGAGGTTGTGCACACTGTCTCGTTGCATGAAATCGACGTCATAAACAGTCGAACACAAGGGTTCCTTGCTCTATTCGCTGGAGACACTGGGGAAATCAAGCCTGAGCTCCGCAATCAAATCAACGCGAAAGTCGCCGAATGGAGGGAAGAGGGAAAGGCGGAGATCATTCCCGGTGTGAGTATGGGCCTGAAATCAAACTTAGCTCGTTTCTGACTCTCCCTTCTAGGTCCTGTTCATTGATGAGGTTCACATGCTCGACATAGAGTGCTTCTCCTTCCTAAACAGAGCCCTTGAAAACGAACTTGCACCTCTGGTCATCATGGCTTCCAACCGTGGAATCGCTCGCATACGTGGGACAAATCTCCACAGTCCTCATGGCCTTCCTCCAGACTTGCTCGATCGTGTGTTGATAGTGAGCACGCAGCCATACACTCCCGATGACATCAAACACATCATCAAAATCCGGTTTGTCCCGCTGCCATTGGTTTCCCTGCTTGTAATTTATTGAACTGTTTTTTGTAACTTAGGTGCGAGGAGGAAGACGTCACGCTCACGGATTCCGCACTGGACATCCTTACGCATCTCGCTGCGGATACCACGCTGCGATACGTGCTTAACTTGATATCTTGTGCTCAGATGCTTGCAAGAAAACGAAAGGCGGAGTCGGTGGAGGACGCCGATATTCGGCGTGCATACGCCTACTTCTTTGACGAGAAGCGCAGCGTGCAATGGGTAAAGGAGCAGCAGCACAGGCTAGTCTCTGAGGAGGGCGTTGACTTCGAAGTCGGCTCGCGTCCGACTGTCAATGCTCAGGTCGTCAGGGGTGACGCGATGGATGAGAGCTAAGTCGTTACCATACATAGGAGGGAGCGTCACCGTTCTGTATACATTGGTGCGTTACACAGATGCCACGATGGTTTCGGGCTGACCTCATGACCTGAAATAGCTTGTATTCCGAACTCCATGGGTCTGCTGGTCTCCGGACTGTTCGGTGGCCTCGCGTAGACAAGATGAATGTACCTGACGGTGTGCTTTCAGTACGTCCCTCTCAATTCATCATTGCCTATCGAGGGAGAGTGCTATAGTTTCCACGCGGACGAGGCCTTCAATACGTATGCCACGGGTCTTGATACGCGCCTCGCCGTTATCTCGTGCAGCTATCTCACAGCGTCGACCTTCGATACACTAAGGCATGACCGGGGTTTTGCCGTACTCAAGTCTATTTTCTGCTAGACTATATTGAAAGGTCCAATACCTGCGCATGGCTTGTCCTGATACTGAACACTCTTGAGGCTCCCCCGAGGATACTCTCTAGAATGTCTCCGGTCCCACTCCAGCCATCCACCGCCGGCCTTCAGTTGAGGTGGTGGCTTCCCTCATCATGATCCGTAGGTATGCACGAGGTAGCACGAAGCTCCCGGCGGAGGGTCCAAGGAGCATGCGCTATCCTTCAGCAGCTGATCTTGTTCGGGGGCGAGGCCGCAATTAGCAGCCCACATCGCCGATATCGATGACCACCCCGCTTCTGACCTGACCGGGACGGCGCGGCAGAGCGGTGTTCTCTCGTTTATCCCACACACCGACGTTCTACCCGCGTCGGGAGATCATCGAGCGTGCGCGATGTGGAGGATGTTTAGTGCCAGCATACACCCGCAGTGTGTCGCATGCGCGAGAGAGATGAAGGCGAGGCTGCGGTTAACGCGGTGCAAGACTTTCTAGGCTTTTATGTCACACAGTCTGGGGAGCCGCGGCGTCATGCAACGGTCGAGGATTGCGTCTAAACGAGGCCTTCTCTCCTTTGCCTGTCCTCTCGCCGCTACTTCGGTACAAGACCGTAGTGCTGGGACGCTGACATGCTGCGTCAGCTGTTCAAAGGGAATCAATAGTTTGAGGACAGCCAATGAGGTTGCTCGCCGGCCCAGGATTCCCAGCTATAGTCCGCGAGTGAATGCGATTCTGACAGGTTTATCCGTGCCAGCCCAACGGACAAGGTTAAACGTCGCGGATGACAACCCTTCCGTCTGCCATTCCGAGGGTCAACAGCGAGATCGCGGCGAGATTCTCCCTTGCATTCGCTGGCATTCAGTAGGCCTCCCGGCTGGCGAGCAATCCGACTACTGATCCCGAACCAGCCTTTCCTAGCTATACCATGGCTTCGGCAGCTGCATCCGCGATGGCTTCCACTGTTCTCGCCGCGTCAATAGGTCGTATGAGCGTGTGAGTGCACGCGCTTCGCTATGAGCCTCTGCCGACAGCGCTCGTTCTTGCCTATGCATCCTTGGAGCACCTGCAAGGCACCGATCGTCACTTTTAGTGGACAGCCTGTATATGAACGGACGCGACGGAATGTGCGTCTCCCCACCTAGGCTCCAGTTGACCCGAACCTCAGCCAGAGTATTATCCGGAGTGCGCTGATCGCATCATGGTATGAACCGCGTTCACTTTCAATTCTGTGTCGTTCGACGCTCATGTGGCACCGCAGGTCTTCATTGGCAACGCTTCGGGCAGCGACAAGGACCAATCTCGGTCGACGTTGAAGAGCAGAATGCAGTCGCGTCTCCAGACTGCGTTCATGCCGGTGAATATACTCCCCTCGTCTGCACAGCCCCTTGGCACTCCGACCCGTCGATCTCTGCTCGAGGATTGGGAATCGTGCTCTGATAGCAGCTTTCTTGACAGCAGCGGCGGCATATTCAGTCGTCATCGGCGATCATACCATCTGCTCCTCAGTCGGAGTGCAGTACTCTGGTTGGCACATAACTATGTCGGTCGTTATGTTGTACCTCATCGCCCTTCTCTCCCAATAGGTAGATTTCACTATCGAAGACGTCGCAATCGAAGAAGAGGACAATGAGGCAGTCGTCGTAAGTCTGGCCTTCAGCTCCAGACTGTTATCGTACTGAACGCTCCCGCGTTCGTTCTGTAGACGGAGAACGACGTGTTGCATGACGACAACTCAGCTTGGTCAAACGGGAAACATTATCCCGTCAAAGCGTTCAAAAATCGCGGTCATATCCACCACCAATACGCGAGTGGTCAGATGTCGCAGGTAAGGCACCGATGAGCCGGTCTTCGCACGAGGGGGCGTTGAATCATAACGGCTCTATCTCAAGGACGAGCTGCTAGGCACGGACAACTCTGCGTGGGTAGGTGCTGCACCTTCCTCCGCTTCTTCGAGACAGTACAAGGTCAAGCTCCGACCCTGGTTCACCACGGGACACCGACATAGCGAACATCTTGTAGGCTGCGAGGTGAGTGACTGCATGGCCGTTCGCACTTCGGGATCTGAGCTCCAATTCTCTGGCTAGCCCGAGATGCTCGACGTAGAGGATAGGGCCTGGATGTAGGCATATTGAGTCAAATGACCTGACCCATTGCTGTTCGCCATCGTTCCCTGCAGCTATCGTGATTTCTCGAGAAGCATCCTGTCATAACGTCTAGGATGTACAATAGGCTTGTCGTGATCATGTAAACATTATGGGAGAGACGATCCTACTCAAGGTGCCAAGTGTCATGAAGAGAGCTGCCAGACCACTGAAGCCAACAATACCTAGTGATGCCTACATCGATGGCTTTCCCCTACTGGGAGGTTCTTTAGTGAGTAGTAGGTGAACGCCTCTAACCTGAGTCTCACACTACCTTGGGGAGCCCAGAGCTCATCGATGACCCTAGTGGGTCTGAGAACCTAAGGTGTCCGTAAATGGATTTCTTGCCCTACATCGATGGCCTTCACCTTCATCTTTTTGACATAGCGACAAGGACCGTTGTGTAGAACATCCGGTGGTTCATACAATTAATCTCAAACCCGAAGGCCTGACGTGTCGCGCCAGGGCCTTGCAAGGTACGCTGCCCAGAGAATCACGCTAGCCCTCACTGGGTGTTCCCGCGACAGCGTTTGAGATTGATAGACTCGCAGTTGAGGCCAGGAACCCTTGGCGCAGCGGTAGCGCGTGAGATTCCAGACCACGTCTCGCTGCAAGGCGGGTTGGTGTGAAAAGCTTCCTCAAGGTCATCCGTTCAAATCGGGTAGGGTTCAGCTTTTTGCATGCAAGATGCATTCAATGTAGTACAGCGTCACTTCATCACTAGACGATCGAACCTGAAGCATTAGACGAGAAGGCCTTGGTCGTATGAGAGATCCAGCAGCCATTGCTGACAGTCCAAGCAGTTCAGCTGCTACATAGTTATAGCCACTGTCGCAGCAACAGACTCTGCCGAATGTTTACACCTGCTTAAAAATCATCATACTGGCAAGGCGGACGTCCCCTTCGCAGCCTGTTCCATGTGCAGGTGACTCACGCATTTGCGCTTGGTCGTAGGCAAGGCAGCTATGAGCAACGCTGGAAGTTCGCAACACCGTGGTTGAGCGGGAAAAAATTGAACCCTACCCGATTTGAACGGATGACCTTGAGGAAGCCTTTCACACCAACCCGCCTTGCAGCGAGACGTGCTCTGGAATCTCACGCGCTACCGCTGCGCCAAGGGTTCTCTAGAGAGGTGTAGGCATTGGTACTCCTATCGCGGTTTGGGGTTCATCCGCCAATATTCCCACGTTAGCTGCTCGCTCCCAGGCACATCCCCCAAGCTGCTTTATATTGGCGCGCCTAACGGGAAATGCAACTGATACTTTGACCATTGGCCCTCACCGACGACCCTTCTGCGATTGACGGAATGGCTGAGAGCCGCTGCGTTGATAATCCTAGAATGCGGCGGCTCCACAGTCGTTCAGCTCCGAGCAACCATGGCATGGTCACTTGGTGGACGCCTTTGAAAGAAAACAGGTTTCTCTACCGGACGATAGCGGGAATGTTGCAGCAGGACGTCCTTTATTCTTCGGTCGTAGGATGTCAGAAGACGATTTATAGCTGGTGGGACTAGGATGTGTGAGCGTCGCTCGCCGGGATGCACAGGTGGGATCACAATCAGTGAGTAATCAATAGATACCACGATTAACAAGGGGGACAGATGATAGCTGGCTCGAGGAATATATGCTGAATCTGGTATATGCGAGGAAGGTCGTTACGATACATGGAGTTTACCTTCCACGACGACTCAACCGAACTTCTCCTTCGCCATTTGCATGAACATGTCCATGGTCGCCTTGTCTTTCTGCCGCAATGCTTCCGCACGTTCGCGGGTGGCACTCATGCGCTCGTTTTTCTTTTCCTCGTACCGACGCTTTGCAGCTTCTCGTCGCGCGAGCCTGCAGTCCATCAGTTGCCATGTAACAGAAGTATAGATGTACCGCGGGACTCACTGCGCCTGGAAACTATCTCCACCGCCCATAAGAGTCGCATCGTCCAGCTCGAGGCCTTCGTCGCCCTTCTCCCTATAAGCACGGTTTGCCTCACGTTGTGCCTTCTTCTTCTCCAGCTGCCCAGCACGCCCAACTTCCTTGGGCCCCACCAGGTCCTCCAATCGCTCTTTGGCCTCCTTGCGCTCACGCTTACGTTGGTACTCGCGTTCCGCAGCCCGGTATTCATCCGCGACCTCTTGTGCTAGAATTCGATCAGACGCAGACGGCATGGCAGGTCCGATGATACGCCCGCTTGATGGCCCCGGCCCAGGTTGGGTGAAAGAGTTGCGCTGCCAGGTTGCATTGTCGATCTCTTCGCGAGCGGCGCGTAGCGCAACGTTATCGGCATCCGATGTCTTTGAAGCAAAGGACCATTTATACGTCGTTTGGCTGTTAGCAGCCGGTACTCGGCCTACTCCAGCGTACATCGACTCTGCGCACAGACAAACATGAGCTGATCTACATGCCCAAGGCCCAAAAGACGCACTCGAGAGTTTGCCTCTGTTCCAGGCCTGTCGTGCCTAGGTCAAAAGCCGCAAAGGGGTGCTCGTGCATTATCGCATACCTTGACAAATTTGCGAAAGTACCTGGTTTTAGCTTTAGTTACGACCACATCGCGTAGTCCGCGGACGTACTCACTTTCTCGCTCTCTCTCCAGATAGCTCATTGAAGTACTAAGGTATAGGGCACGGGTTCTGACCGCATAAGGTCCGAGTATGTGACGGTTGAGTACCCACTGACCTTGCCCTTCTCTTCCTTCAGCCACAGCTGGAACTCGTCATTCTTGAGGAAGTAGTCAGATTCGGATATCTCGGAGACATCCTCAGGTAGTGAGGTTCTCCGATCTGGAGAACGGGAGCGGGACTGGTCTCTTGACCGCGAAGGAGAACGATCCCTGGAATAAGAGCGTCGATGACGGGAGCGCATGGTGAATGTCGAGAGCAAGGTGGACGCTATGAGCGTCTAAATTGTACTGCGATTAATTCAAATGAAGTCACACGTATATACACGATAGTGCTGGTACAGCATGGTCCTGTACGGTATCCGTTTGTTCTTCCTTTCCTATCAGTACGCAAAGTCTGTTATAGCTTGATTCAAGTCGCGAGAATCTGAGCACATCAGACCCGCTTCAGATGATGTTATCAGCTACATGCCTGAGGCAATTCTGGACCCTAGATGTACAATGTTTCCATGTTATGCGTATTGATGCATGTGCATACATAGAACATGAGAGACGATAGGCATAACCCTCGTGACGAATGCGAAGGTGGAGTGGTAGAAGGTGCATGGTTTAGATGGTGGTCTCGTAAGGTACAGGGGTCATCGTCTGGGGCGCGTTGTCCTTTATCGAGACAGTGTGCGCAGCCCGGGGAAGAACAGGCTGACGCTTGAGGTTGACGCGCTCTGCATATGTGGGAGTCGGTACTCAGTCACCACTATCTGGGACTACTACCGTGTGCGACTTACCGCCCTTGGCCCGCGCCTCAACGTGCGCATCGTGGTTCCTCTTGACACGCTCAAGGAACTCCTGCCTGCACTTGGAGTGCCTGATGTGCTCGACACGGATGTTCACGCGCTTCTCGATGTAACGGTTGCCGACAACCTTGTTGACGATAACACCAACAGCACGGGGAGTCACGTTGTAGACGATACCAGTCCGACTTTTGCGCGGAATGTAGCGTCAGCTGGAGATCCGTGACACTTCTGCATGCGCTATACTGACCCGTGGTAGAACTTGTGGGGCATGCCCTTTTGCTGAGCGGCATTGGCCTTGATGTCAACAATGTCACCAATGCGGTAGTTGACGAGGTATGTCGACATCTTAATGGGGCCATGCTCTAGATAACCCTTCAGTTGTAGAGGGATTGGATGTAAGGTCAAAGATCCGCACCCTTGAAGCCCCGCTTGAACATGTCGCGCGTACGCGCCCGGTAACCGTATGAGTGAGGCATCTTGAGGACTGCGACAAGATGAGCTGGGGGCCGTCAAGCACAGCGAGCAGAGACAAACTAACGGTCGTCGGCGTTCTTGTTGGTGTCGTCGGCGTATGCGATAGTACAAACTTTGTCGGGTGCCGGACATTGCCGAGTGGCTGATTGCTGCTGTACAGCTGTGGCGAGCGCTGAACCTTGGTTGTTTGCCGTAGTTTGTGTACACCAGAGAAACAGTCCGCAAGGCCAGCGCTAGGCTACTCCGTCGTCTCCGCCATCCTCAAGAAAAATGCCTAGGTATTTCCTCGCTTGCTGTCGTGTCGAACGGCGTCGGTTTTGACTGTTATTGCTCAGGGCCCCGCGGAACCACAGCAAGACGTGAGCATTTATCATTCTTCAAGGTCCACTCAGTGGAGGGATGCACCGTGCTGATCATAGCCGTGCCCCATTATCGTTTCGACGATAATTCTACAGTTACAAGGTCCCCCGTCGCCCGTTCGAGTCAGCTCGTCTCGATGCAGAGCTGAAAGTACGTGGATAATGCCTATTACATCTTGCAAAGGAGTGCAGTACATAACCGCGTACTTCCAGCTCGCCGGCGAGTACGGTCTCCGCAACAAGCGTGAGATCTGGCGCATCGGTCTCATCCTCTCCAAGATTCGTCGTGCGGCCCGTGAGCTGCTGAAGCTCGACGACAAGGACCCCAAGCGTCTCTTTGAGGGTAACGCCCTTATTCGTCGTCTCGTCCGCATTGGTGTGCTCGACGAGTCGCGCATGCGCCTCGATTACGTGCTGTCCCTGAAGATCGAGGACTTCTTGGAGCGTCGCCTCCAAACTCAGGTATTTAAGAGTGGCTTGGCGAAGTCCATTCACCACGCTCGTGTCCTCATCAGGCAACGACACATCCGGTATGTGTATCGTTTGCGCTACCGCCTTCCCGCTGACACTCTGTATAGCGTCGGCAAGCAGATTGTCAACGTCCCTTCCTTTGTCGTCCGTCTTGACTCCCAAAAGCACATCGACTTCGCCCTCACGTCGCCATACGGTGGTGGTCGCCCCGGCCGTGTCAAGCGCAAGCGCATGGCTGCTGCTGCCAAGAAGGAGGAGGGTGGTGACGAGGAGGAGGAGTAAACGAGTGTACTCATCCGTCTCTCGCCCTATGTCAACATCTCATGTGGGTCCATCTCTGTATGGCTACGTATGCAACGTGTATGCGTTCTGCAGGCTTGCGGGACCGATCGTCTGGCCCATCATTACGCTGTGTACACTACCCAAAGACACCGACCAGATCAACCACAGGTTGACTGTTACACACCCTCGGATCGTCGCTCTACTCGACGCTTTTCCTATCAGGTAGTGTTATCTCCATTGTGCAACGCATCTGTTCGGAGTATGTTGTGAGCTGCGGCAAGTCACGGTCTGCTTTTTTCGCAGTCAGTGCGGCTGCACGGTCACGAAGGTATCGTCCACCGTGTGGCCGGTGAACTCTGATCGTTGCGACAACCTGTGCTGGTCAAGGTAAGGCTTGTTGTTGAACACTCGTGCGCATTCTTCACCCTTGTATGAACAACACATGACACGACAGACGATATCACGTGAATCCATTGCATAACAGCTTTTTTTCTTCAAGCCCACCCGTCTACGCCGTTCTGGAATTCCTTGAAGAGATCGATTGGGAATGCCTGGGCCATCGCCGTATACCCAGCGACATTGGGATGCAAGAAATCGCCGGAATTGAAAGGGTCTGCCAGCTGGCTCGGCGCAGTTGCGTTGCGCACTACGGCGTCGAAGTCGATAACACCATCGAATGCTCCGCTCGTGCGGATGAACTTGTTGACTCGCTGCCGTGTTGCCTCGCGGATTGGGCTGGAGTACGGCTGGATGGTGTTGTTGAACCCTGGCTCGCTGAAAGGCGTGATGGTGGCAGCGAAGATAGGGAGCCCAGCGGCGTGCGCACGGACGATGAACTGCTTGTACGCGGCAATGACGGCATCTCCGATAGCCTGTTGCGCCTCCGTGGTAGCGTCAGCAACCCCGATGTCGTTGACGCCTTCGAAGATCACGACGTAGCGTACGCCTGGCTGGGAGAGTACGTCCCTGTCGAACCGACCGAGCGCATTCGGACCGAGTCCGTCGGCGAGGATGCGATTCCCGCCAGCGGCTTGGTTAGCGAATGCGAGGGTATTCAAAGCGGGATCCTTAGAGGCGTGCACGCGATTCCAAAGGAGATCGGGCCAACGGTTGTTCTTGTCGGTATCGCT